GTTGATGAATTATTTTAAAATATAAAAAGTTAGAGTTAACTAGTAATTTCTTTTACTAATTTTATAGAAAACATCAAACGATGAATCTACCCAATTAAATATACGAATAGAAGACTAATGATGCTCTCACTATCTCTTGCCTCAGTTGATATGTTCTCCTTTTCAATCAAATAAATTTGATCTCATACGAAAAGATCAAGGCCAAAATTTCGGGCTTCACCTCGTTGTCTTTTCTTTTCATTTGCTCTTCTTAAACAATGTAAAGGCAAACGTAATTTTCATCCCTAGCAACAAGAAATGGCAAAGAAGACCTCTTTGTCAAAGTTTACATAAGTTGAAATAAAAGTTAGCTTGTTGGGAGAAAGAAATTGACTTGGGTAACTTAGCTTGTGTTGACGCTCCTCTTTAGCACTTTGAAATTAGATCATAGCCACGTTTCTTTGTCACATTAATATGCAGGTTAGTTTGATAAGTATGATAAGGGCAAGTTAAAAAATAATAAAATATGTGAGAGTAGACAAGAATATGATAAAATAAGAGTTTTTTTTTAATATAAAAGAAAAACGTTTTTGATCAATTAATGAGCACCAAAAATATCCAATAGATACATTATAAGATCAAAGTATTTAATAAAAAAATGTTTTTATTGTACAAATTTTTTTTCCCACATATTCCCTAATAATAAGTATTTGACCAAAAGAAGAGACGTTATAAATTAATTCATACTTCCCAAGTACAATTACCATTGATGACAATACACAATATTGACCAAAAGACTAAGCTCACAATATGATAAAATAAGAGTACATCGATCTTTTATTTTATTTTACATTTTATGTATACTGAAATAATAAATTTAATACATTATATGTTTATTTCTAATTCAAATGCTACATAATAATATTTATATCAGAGAATCAAAGAAGGTAAACTTAAAGAATAAACTCCTATCAGTTAAATAAGTATTAAAATATATAATAAAATAACTTATCATCTCTTGTTTTCTTATTCTATTCATCATATGAAGCCTCAGTGTTCTCATTAATGAAACACACAGATTCAAACCCTTATGTGCTGGCCACACCCCATAGTTAACATCCATATATCATTGTCGAAATCCAGCTTGCTCAAGGCTCTTAGTTCACCTACTCCTTTAAGACCACATGGCTGAGACACTTAAGATTTTTCTTTCCAAAAACTATAATCAATCGGAGGTTGCCGGCTGCACATCGAGACATTTGTTAATGTATGTCTTTTTCCCATCATAGTATGGATATGTAACTATTTCCAATGCTTGTTCATGTGAGCAAAATCTTACATGCACATGCAAGACTGAAGCACACATTAATTAGCGTGTTCAAAGTCACTTGGTTGAAATGGCAAATGAATATCATATCAATTTTGTTTGTTATGTACTGTGTTGGTCACCATCCGGTTGGCAACTTCTCTCCTACCAAAACCTACAGGGACTGCTCACCAACATGCCCTAAACTAGATATCAAGTATATTATATTATTTATAAAAAAATAAATAGTTATATATCATAAATTTATACTTTATTTAAGGAATATCTATAAGATTAAATGTTCAATTTGATGTATTATGTATTAAATGATGAATGTGTCCATTTTTGAGATAAAAGATATATACTTCACTAAAAGGGTACATATAATGAATTTTTATTCGATAAAAGTTATTCATTTTTTTTTCTAAAGCAACACTCTGACGTAACTTAATAATATGAAAAAATTGAAATTGGTAAATTTATTTGATGACAGGGATTAATAATGGTCCCTGACTTAGCGTGTTGAGTATGGATGTACCCTTCCCAACTACTCTGTGTTGGGAATTCATAACTGAGAGCTGCAAATGATGAATGAGTTTTAGAAGAAAAAACGAAATTGAAGTAACACTATCTGTCAGTTGAGAATACTTAAACCCTCAGAACAAATGGGAAAACAACTTCACCTTTACCTTCTCTATAATTTGCCAATCCATAGATCCTTTTTATTTAATTTCTTTATAATGTAATGTTTTTCAGCTAGTACGTGTTGGCCTAATTAATTAAATCTATCAATATCAGTGAAATATTCCATTGTTTTTTAAATGAAATATTCCATTTTTTTCTGTTTCATATAATTAATAATCCTCTCTTCAGTATCTGCTTCTGTCGTCATTGCTATTCTATATGCATAGCTGGGTAATTCTTTATTACTCTCTCAGTTTTATATTATAATTCATTTGAATAATATTTTTTATTTATCTTTATTATTCATTATTTTAGAATATTAAAAAATATTTATTAATTTTTAAATATTTATTTATTAGAAAAAACTAATTAACTTGTAAAATACTTATAAAATTAGTTATTATCACTTAATTACGGTAATAACTTTAACATTTTAAACAAGCATATTTTAGGGACATCAATTTATTTTACCACAAAATTTGATAAAATTAAATGTTTTTTAATGTGTAAAATAACATCTAAAATGAGACAGATCTAATAATAATAATTGTTGATGCTTAAAGTATTTTACAATTACGATAATAATTGTATAAAATATTTTACCATATAATTAAATATGTATCAAATATATATAATAATAAAAGTACATATTACATATACCAACATGTGCTAACGAAGCAAGTGCAATAATTGTTGATGCAACTCTCAACTATAACATTTATATAAAAAATTTGGACTTTATTAATATTAGTTCTAAAGTTTTAGGTTTATAAGTGTAATTAAAGTATTCATGATATATCTTATACGTACTGATTACCAGTTTTACTTATGCCTGATCATTATGAATGGGACCATGTAAGAATAGTTATTTTAATTATTTTTTTTCTTCCTTGATAAGTACTACGTATAGCTTCTTTCGTCTTTGCCTTATAATTTTTTTCTTTTTTTATGATTCTTCTTAATTCAAAGAAACAGTCTTAAATAGTTGATAGAAATTAATATATGCATAGTAGAGCTAGATTTATGTACTAACTAGGTATATATGTTTTTTCTTATATATACCAAAAATAATATATACTTCGAATCAATATATATATATAATTGAATCTTTTAGAGTTATCTCTTCAAGATAATTTTTTTAATGATAAAAATATTCCCCACATGCGAGATCATAATGTCAAACATTTATGGTGAAAGTGAAAGAACTCTGAGATATATTTTTATTACCGTCAATAGCTTAGCGATTGGTATTAGATTTTAAATATACAGAAATATTTCTAAACGATTTTTTCCTGAATAGTATACAAGTATATATAATTTACTTGCCCAACGTAACCAAATGTATTTATTTTTTTTATAAAATTTTGTAATATTGATAAGGATTTTTAAACTAACAGTTGTATTGATTAATTTCTTGTTTTATGAAAAAATTATTAAGTGATAAATATTTAAATTTTACAGATAATATCAGTACAGAGAAAGAGACTTAGCTTCATAGTCATTAAGTTTAAACTTGTTTGAATGTGAGCAGTAATGAATTAAATCTGAAAAAATAAAAATTTCAGTACACACACATGGTTGTCCTTCACTATTTTCCTGTGAGTGTTAATTTTCTCATTTATTAGTACCTTTGGCTACGCTCTAAGTTTCTTGCAGGTGCTATATATAGTTCAATGTTATTTTAAAAAAGTGTAGATGTTTTCGAAACAATTCAAAATCGTACATAATTGCGCTCTGACTTTGGACAATTAAACTTAGCGAGTAGGGACAATTTTGCCCGGTTTAAGATCATAAAAAAATTTGCAAATGATTTTTAACCGTGAAGACTAATTATTATTATTATTATTATTATTATTATTATTATAGTTTTTACAACCTTAATTTATGTGTATACTAAATAATCATATTGGGTAGAACAATATTTCTGATGACCTAGTTATTGTGGTCAACTTGCATAGTATTATGGATATTGGTTAGGTGGTGGCTTGATGAATTGAGACTGCACAGTCAATTACCAGGACCAAACCACGACGGATCCTCAGATATGAACATTTATATCCTAAAATTATTAATAAGAATGTTTTCTTTACATATAATAACAGTACTGGAAGTAATAGGTTATACCTAATCATCTACTGTGATTTATTAACACCTAAAATCACACAGAGTGATTCTTTTGTGTTTTAAAATATATTTATATTTTTTGGTAGAGAGGAAAAAGTTTAGGTTGGGAGAAAGCTGCTCAACACAAGGTCAAGAAAATTACTAATCTAATCGCGGATTTATAGTATTATGTATTGTATATTAGCTGCATTAAAATCAATTTCAAATCTCAACTTTACAAAAATAAAACACTTTAGCATGAAATTATATATATATTTATCTAGATAAAGTAATTTTTTACAGGAGATAATCTAGCTTGAATAGGTTAAAAATATATAATTTAACAAAATTAGTTTTTTTTTAGCAATTTTTTATAAAAAATGTTAACTTTATATCTTAAAACTGATTTTAGAGAGTTAATAATAGTAAGATTTTATTAAAATATTATTGTACTTTTATAACTTTAATGCTATAAATATATTTTTTAATAAAAATTTATCACTTTTAAATGATTAAATTCAGTCCTAAAAAGTTAAAGTTAACACTTTTTGTATTTATGAGATTTAATTCAAATAATTCAATGAAAATTAAACACATGTATAACTTGATTAATCATATTAGTATATTGGTATGAAATTTTTTACGTAGCTAAGTTTTAAAAATGATTTTATATTTGCTAATTTATTGGCTTTCTCAACCACAAACAGGACAGAAAAAAAAATGGAATTGTATTGGCTAAAGTTCATTATACCTAAGATGAGCAACAACTTGCGTACACTCCATCTCATAAATGCTACATACTCATTTCTCTGCTTATATGAAACGGCCAAATGGACATGAGATTTCGCCCACTCCATTGTGTCTATTTCGTCTGAAACGCCACTTCTTCACTTTCTCTCTCTCTCATTAATACTATTTTCAGACGTTTTCAATGGAGTTTGGAAGCATACTCCACTTCCTTCAGGACAAGACCATTTTAGTCACTGGAGCCACTGGCTTTCTAGCCAAAAGTATGTTCCTTTTCTCTCTTTCAATCACTTTTTGTTTTCTCTTCAAAGGGTATTATGCACTTTGCATGAGATGTAGTGATGATGTCTTTGGTTTTTACTTTTATGCTTTACAGTTTTGTTGGAGAAGATATTGAGAGTTCAACCCAATGTTAAGAAGCTTTACCTTCTTTTAAGAGCTGCAGATGCCAAATCTGCTACTCATCGCTTGCACAATGAGGTAAATGCAAAGGTTCAATTTCTGCTTGTTGGGGCCTTTTCTTTCATTTTCTCTCTCTCACTCCTCATTTGGTTTGAATGATGTGTGTATTTAGTCATGGCATTTCTTTTACCCTTTTCCATGCATTTTGTAAGTAACTTTTTAAGCATTGGCATTTACGAATGTTAAAAGTGAAATTAAAGGGTTTAAGTAAAGACTACTTTTAATTTGTTTTTATTTATATGTTCAACGAAAGAAAGAAAAAATATTTTTATTTATTTATGTAGGAATTCAAGACCACAAAATTATTATTTTTACTTTGATATTCTTTTTTTCATATATAAAAAAATTAGGTACGATAAATAAATATTTACACTATTTGAGTAGTTCAAAAATCTTAAAAAATTATTAATAAAAGATAAACTTAAAAGTAATCAATTAATTTCAATAAAAAGTTATATTTTTTATTTGTACAAATCTTTATTCAAATAAATAAGCAAGAATAAGTAAGCTTGAACCCAATACGTGCTAATTATGATTTCATTTTCTTTTTGGGGTGCGTAGATCATAGGGAAGGAGTTGTTTAGATTGCTAAAGGAAAAAATGGGTGCAAATTTTAATTCCTTTGTCTCAAAAAAGTTGACTCTGGTACCTGGGGACATTTCTCGTGAAGACTTGGGATTGGAGGATTCCATTCTAAGGGAAGAAATTTATAATCAAACAGATGTTATTGTTAATTTAGCTGCAACAGTTAACTTTGATGAAAGGTATATACTAGTACACTTTTATACTAAATTAATATTTGTATTACTCAGACTTTATACTATTTTTTTTCCTTTTTTAATTCTTTCTCACCTCAAATTAATTGCAGGTATGATATCTCGTTGGGCTTAAATACCTTTGGTGTTAAGTATGTCATCAACTTCGCCAAAAAATGTACTAAACTCGAGGTTCTTGTGCATGTATCAACAGGTTTACATCAATCAATGCCCTTACCCAATATTTAGGAAGAGAACATTATCCTCGCATTAATTAGCATAATAATTATTGTTACACATTAATTTCAGCTTATGTATGTGGTGAGGGAGAGGGGCTCATATTAGAGAAACCATATCACTTGGGCGATTCACTAAATGGTGTACCAGGATTAGACATCGATGCAGAAGAGAAAATGGTTCATGCCAAATTGAATGAGCTACGACAGCTGGGAGCCTCAGAAAATGAAATTAAACAGGTTATGAAAGACTTGGGCATTAGCAGGTTAGTGAATATCCAACATTATTAATTTATGTTTACTTTTTCTAAGGTTTTTCTCTTCTTAGGAGGTGCCATTTAATTATTAAGGAAAAATATTTGAATTAATTAATTAATTAAACATGTGTGACAATAAACACATGAAAATAACAATTAACAGATACGCTTCTCTTCTTTTGTTCATTAAAATATTTACACTTTAAATTATATTCCTCCATCACCCCTAAGACCTGAGCTAATTAAGATCAGGTGATCAATTGATGTCAAGTTTAGTATATCCTTTACCTTCCACAGAATCAATCTACGATTTCCTTGTATGTGACATATTAACAAGGAAAGTTGTTGTAAATCACTTGAAGTTTTCTTAATTTTTATGTATAATGATTTCTATGCTGGACCCACAAAAGTAGGCCTCTTACATAAGATTTGAATCAATCAAATTCTATAATTTAAAGAAGGATGATAACCAATTCTTAAGGTCATATGATAAATAAATGTACTTATAGGACTAACTACCGTACCTACAACTACAGAGAGGAACATACTATATACCCCAATTAGGTTATGTAGGACCAGATAATTTTATATATCTTAATTTGCCAATACGACAGTGGGGTGGGCAATGAATTGTTTATATATAGAGATCGATCAGGAAGCATTACACACACGACACATGTACCAAATGAACAACCAATCACCAAAAAGCCCATGATACGGCCAATGACTTTTAGTAGATAGAGTAGGAAGCCTAGAACACTGTCAAATGAATTAAATGTATTGACTTATTGAGAACCAAAATTAAACAATCGTGGTACTACATCATATTAGGATGTCCCATATGAAATAAAAATAATATCAAATGTAATTTATATGGTTTAAATAAATTTTTTAGAGTTAGATTTAATTAATTTTTAATATAGCATTACAATTTATGTAATATTAATGTTAGATTATTTCACGTATTTAGTCTTGTAAATTTTATTTATTAAATTTTTAATTTAAAATGCAAAGACAAAGTATTAAAATATTTTATATTGATAAAAAAATAAGATCAGAATAATTCTTATAAAAATTGATTATTCTTTCTTTCTTAAACTAACTTTTGATAATGAATTACTAGTTCGATTAATTTTTAGTACTTAGAACCAAGTTAGTTCCATTCATTTGTGTTGTGGGTAAACCAATGGAAGGTGACTACTGCATCCTACCCAAAAAATATTACCATCTTTGTAACCAGTATATATATATATATATATATATATATATATATATATATATATATATTAACTAGCTTATTTGAAAAAAAAAGTAAGTGTTTAATGATTAATTCTTTTTTACTTATTAATGATTTCTAGCTATTTTTAGTTCCTTATCCATTGTACTTAAACATTGGTTTAATTAGCACTTGACAAAGTACTATCCCCGATGATTTATTGAAAACATAAACAAACTGGTCGAGATAGAACTGCATTTACTCATTGCTATTTTGTTAATGGAAGTATCATATATGATGAAAGTAGTGAATTATCAATATAGGGAAGGGGTTTGGCATGGTCCATTAAAACCCGAATTGACTTCTTACCAAACACGACCAACTCATCTTATTCCATATTGAAGAAGAAAGATAGGATTGCTGCAAATATTGTTCACATAGGAGAGTGACCATGTTGGTTACAGGTCAGGATTCGAACGGGAAATGAGAAACTTAAATTGACACGGACAAAACTAGCCAGTCCAATTATGGCTCTTTCATTATAACCTTTCGTCTCCATGGATAACATGAGGCCAAGCGTTACCTCTATAATTATGTACATGCCCACACAAATCAGACGGAAAATGACTACTCCACATGGACCCATTTTCTAAAAGACACATTAAAACTGCTATAACACATTATAAAGGCACAATTAACTAGAGTTGTATACGAATTTTTATGAAAATAACAATAATTTGTTCATATTATATACGTTGCAGGAATTCTGACATATTCCCGACATGTTATGGTTCTTTCTCTTTTTTCGGTTTATATGACATAGATAATATCTGTTTTTTTCATTGTTATGTTTTTTTCTTTCCAAAAATAATTTCTTCAATTTTTTCACATGAGATTTTGCAGTCGTTTGTTTTCCTGAAATAAAGAATGTTCCAACATGACATGTAGAGCATTATCCTCCAAGTATATTGCTTGCCTTCTTTCTTTTGTTTTGCTTTTAGAACTAATTGTTCACTCTTAAATGTCTGTTCATTGTGTATATCATGGAAATTTGGTTGTTTCAATGTAAAATATATTACTAGAATTTGTGAGTATGATCACCTCTTCATTAATATAAGCTTCGGATAAAATAAGCACAGCTTCTACATGGTGGTTGTGATTCATATAAATTAGTTATTTCATATTCTAAACATTTTTTTTGTAAATGTAATTAATAAAAACACTTGAAAAAGGATAAGAGTTATTGCTTGTCACTGAATATGCTGCCCATGGCACCATATAAAAACAAGCGTCACTCAAGTACACTCTATGACTTTCTTTTTCTTGTTTTCTTTGGAACTTAATAACATGGATAATCATCCTCCTACACTCCATATTTGGGGTGCAGAGGTACAAGGAAGAGAGAAATAGAAGAGGAGGAAAAAAAAAGAGATGTGATAAGTGATGTAATTAGATAAGAAAAGAGGGATAAAAAAAGGTGAAAGAGAAGTATTTCAATAACATAAAAGGACTCAATAAAATGAAGCATTTCATAATGTACAGAACATAACCAGAATATGAATGTAGCTTAATGTTTTTCAATGATGTTATTGTTTAGAAGGTGGTCCCATTTGTAGTTTCTTTTTTTCTAAAAAATTATTATTTTGAAGCAATCGTGCTGCGGGTGAGATAATACTGAGAGTGAGGTGTGTCTCTCTTGAGTGGCCCCACAAATTAATATGCTCATTGTGGTTTTCAGAGTGCAAGTTTATATATTTTTTATTAGTTTGAACACAATTCAAAACCGAGAGTTTTATTCTAATTTTAGAGTTCTTTTTTAGATGAGGTTATTTTTGCTCAGAAGGTAGAGTGGTATTTTGAAGTTTGTGTTGTTATAATTGCTTGTAACTTAAAGAAGTATGCCTGGAATCTTAGGTTTAGTGGCCCAAATTCACAAGAATATGTTTAAAATTTTTGTCCCAAATTTACCATCATGGTATTTTCTGAACAATCAATAACAGATAGACAATGATTTTTTTTATCATTGAGAATTAACTACTGGTTTATCTCAGCACCCTTTCAATGTATTTTTCTCATAAGTTATATTGGGTTTAATTCTGAAAACTAAATTTGATATCAGTCATATATCGTTGTGTTGTGTATAACTTATCAGGGCCAAGTTGTATGGATGGCCAAACACATATGTATTCACCAAGGCAATGGGAGAGATGCTTGTGGAGCAACTAAAAGAAAACTTATCCGTTGTGATCATTCGTCCTACCATTGTTACCAGTACATTCAAAGAACCTTTCCCTGGTTGGGCAGAAGGTGTAAGGTAAATCTTTGTTTCAATTTATCCTCTAACTTAGGTTTAAGTGTTGAATGTCTATTTAGTGATCGTTTATGTGTATGTTCTAAGGTTGGATTTTGATAAACAGTAAGCTCTTTTTAAAAATAATTTGTCATCAATTTAAAGATAGAACTTATCAGGATAGATTGAAATACCAAAAAGCTTATTGAAATAAGTTGGAAAGAGCTTACGAGAATCATAAGTTATTTCTATAAGTTGTTCATAAGTTCTTCTAAAGAGACTCAGAGAAATTAAAATCGTGAATTTTGATTGCAACAAGGTCAAATGTGATCAAGTGAAAATGTCAATTCATAATGTTAAATTTCTCCACTTGATTATTTTTTTTTTTTGTGGGTGCTTGTTACAGAACCATTGACAGTTTAGCTGTAGCTTATGGGAAAGGAAAACTAACATGCTTCCTTGGAGATCTAAAGGCAGTAGTTGATGCGGTGAGGTTCTGAATGAAGACCATTATTAATGTGTTACCTTATTTCTCCATTGCTTATCTCATCTAAATATCACCAATTTAATAAGCAGATACCAGCTGATATGGTAGTAAATGCAATACTAGTGGCCATGGTGGCTCATGCTAAGCATCCTAGTGATGCTATATATCATGTTGGTTCCTCTTTAAGACGACCACTCAAATATGCCAAAATTCAAGAGTATGGCTTAAGATACTTCACTGCAAGACCATGGATAAACAAGGATGGAAAACCGGTTAAAGTTGGCAAAGTAACAGTGTTGAGCAACATGGATAGCTTCAGAAGATATATGTTCCTTCGCTACCTGATTGTGTTGAAGGTTTCTATATCAAAAATAATTAACCCCTTTGCCTTGTGATCTCAGAACCAATGTTGCACCATCACTCAAATTTCATTAGAAATTTTTACAAGCATAGGAGCTCACATTTTTTTTCTGCATTTAATAGGGACTTGAGCTGGCCAATACTGCATTTTGCCAGTTTTTCCAAGGAACATATCTTGATCTCAATAGGAAGATACAGATTATGATGCGCTTGGTGGACCTTTACAAGCCTTACTTGTTCTTCAAGGCTATGTAAGTGTTAATTATTAGAATCACTATATATATGCTTCTCAGTTCAGGAGAAATGTTAGCAACATATTCTCTGTTATTGACTGAAATTTATTGAAAATCACAAAATAATGTGAGTTACACTTCTAATTTAATGAATCTCATTCATAATTTCTTAGTTTCCAATATATTTCAACCAACGATAGAGAATGTGTTAAAAATGTGTTGCTAACTCTCCTCTTCAATAGCCCAATGCCATTCTTTCTAGCTATTTGGTCGCGTATTTGTCTTGCTTAACTTTATTCAAATATGTATTGCTTTATATGGTATAAACTTAGACAAAAAACTGTTATGGAACACAGATTTGATGATATGAACACAGAGAAGTTGCGAATGGCAGCAAGACAAAGTGGAGTGGAGACAGACTTGTTTTACTTTGACCCTAAAGTGATTGATTGGGATGATTACTTTTTGAACATCCACCTCCCTGGTGTGGTGAAGTACATTTTCAAGTGATACCATAGAGCTAGATATATATATATATATAGTTTTAATATTGTTTTAGTGAAACTGGTGATTTTATTAAGTTCAAACTTGTGCTAGAAGAGTCACTTTACAGTTATGTTATTTGTTTCTCCAGGGCAGTATAAAATGGTGTTAGCTAGCTGCCAAATATGTTTCGAAACTTCAATCAAGTGTATCCAATATCATATATTTTAATTTATTGTCTCTTACAACTACCAGTACCAGTCCAAATACTTTTTAGCTTTGTTGGATAATTCAGCTTTTTACCTTTTCCATTCTTTCTTCCTTTCTGTGATTTGTAAGGAAACGGTAGTAAATATTTATTTCCTTTATTTACTCTTCACTAAAACCATTGTTAACATTTACTATTGAATCACGTTAACAAGTCGGATCCGTCCCCAAATAATTTCACTCTAACTGATACTATTCACACATTAACAATTAGTTAACATGTGTGAATAGTATCAGCTAGAGTGAAATTATTTGGGGACGGATCCGACTCACAAAAGTCCAACATACAAATATACTGTGCAGTGTGTAACTTTATTCAGACTAATAGCTGACATTTCGTTTGGATTCAGAGATGAGAAATTTTTAGTGCTAACAATTAACTTTACCCAGATTTTCTGTTTAGTTTTAAACACGACAAAAATAAACCATGTTAAAATTATACTTCATTTTAAAAAGGGTACAGCGTATGTAAAATTTCTTAGGTGCTTTTAGTATTATTTTCTAATCAAAATTAGAATTTTAATTTACTAAAAGTTCTGCATTTGAGGTTGTTGCGAGTTGCCATGATGAAACTTTAATTTTAATTAGAAAATACTACTAAAATTGCCTAGAAACTGTACTTAATTTTTGTACTTTTAAAAATTTGTCATTACACAGATTAATCGCAGTATTGAGTGCCTTTACGCTTCAAATCTAGTGCATATCAAGTGTATGCAGTGCCTGATAAGTTTTTCTCTGCAACTACAAGAATTGGCAAAAACGCTCTTCGTCACTAAATCCTAGCCAAAACTTAGTGAGTAGTGACTAATTTTGAATTCCATTCACACACATCATCAACTGAAAGAACACAACTTTTCTACAAATTAACTTTTGATTATAGACTGATCTAACAAAATTTCTGTCAATAGAAAACTTTTGGCCTTTTCTCACGCATTTCGAGTTTGCTAAGTGTGTCATCACAATCTTGGTCTTTGGCTAGTGCTCTTCCATGAACTATGCATGTGGTCCCTAAACTCATACCCTGAGACAAATTGGACATGGTATTTATGATAAGCTGCAGGACTGGGTGTAGTTGCTATGGTTGGTTAGTTGCTTCAGAAATGTAGATTGAATTGGCTAGTAATTTCCATGTAAGCAATCACAATTTATTCAGATTCTTTTTCTGTTTAAAGTAGCAAACAAGGAATGAAAATATGATCAGAGGCTTGTTGATGTATAGTAAAAGTAGTCAAAACTTGACATGTTTAAGGCAGTCAAATTTGAAAGAGTAATTTTATCAAGCGAATCCATATTCCAGATTAATTATTTGATTTGCCTATAGGTAAAAATTTTAAATTTTTCTTAAATGACTTTGATTGCATTAACAAATATATTACAAAAGTTTCAGCAGAGAATAGGAATTAGTAATCCATTCTTTTGCATCATACATACATGTATGAATATGATTTGGTGAGTCTAATAGTGACACAAACAAGTTAGGGATCAACATGTTCACATTACTTCTTAAAATAAGGATCTGCACAAGTTTCACATTAACTGACCAACTTAAGCAAAATATCTAGCTTAACTTGAAGTCTTAATATGTAAACAAAATTTCAGTTTCTAACAACTTTGTCTTTAGGCAAGCCTAGGAACTAAATCTTCAAAATAATGGTAGATTTTCTTGTGTATATATTAAACCCTCTTCTCAATCCGGCTACTTCACATTATTGCATTTGGCATCTCCAATTTGCCTAAGAATGAAAACCACAAATCCAATCAACAAAATCTCTATATCCTGCAGAGATATTTGTCACAGCCATAAATTCCTTCTACCGATCACTGTTTCTTGTGGCAATCTCTGCATTTTATATTTAAGATAAGGTCAGGGGGGAAATATAATATAGTAAGACATGCAAGGAATTTGTATATAAAAATATGAAGAAGCGACAGATTTGAGAGAAGTACATTCATTAGAATATGATGTATTTTATACTAATTAAAATAATATAATATAATTTTTATAATTTTTATTTTAAATTTAATTTCAATGCAAAAAATATATATTTATTCAATATTATAATCAATTTCGTAGAACATTTTTTTAATTGATAATAAATCTATAAATTTTAGTGTTTGTTGAGTAAAATTTATTAATTTTAGTTTTTGAAAAATGATTTTCCAAAATAATAATTACTAGAATTGCTGATATTACTTTATAAGTGGTATATGAATTTAAGAAAAAAAATCAATTTTTCTTTTGCATTTAAGCTTGTCAATTATGTTTATTATTAATTTTCATATTTTCATTTAATACTTTAAATTTTGAAAGCAAATCTTGCTCATTATATCAAGATATATTAAAGCTAAATAATGAGACTATGGATAAAGAAAAAATGTTGACACTTTAAAACCAGATTGCCATTAGATTACTTCACATAGGAATTGTTGACTGTATGCCTTACAGGGTTATAGTTTTTGAGGATAGACTTCAATTGAATTTTGAGAAATAAAAGAAACTATGGTAACTCAAAATTTTTAGGATAATGATTCTTGAAAAATAAAGAGGAGATCACAAATCATGAAATTATTGAACGAAGGAAATTTTACTTTAGAATTTGCAGAAAAAAAGGGCTTAAAGACTAAAATAATGTAATTTTAAAAAGTAATTACTAAAATAAGGTAAATCAAAAATAATTCCCTGTCTGGGACAATTTTTGACCACGTTAGGTATAAATTCGTATAACAGTTGGACGAAACTAAATATTTTTATTTTTTATTTAAGTATTTCGTATAAAAGATAGACGAAACAGTTGGGAGTTACATGTGGCAGTAGTTTCATATAATGGAAAGACGAAAAGGGTAAAATATTTGAAATAAACATTCCCACTAGACGACACGTGACCCAATCAACGTGTTTCATTTTTGCGTCAAACGAAAAGATGGTTTCGTCTGACCCAGAGACAAAACACGTTGATTGGGCCATGTGTCGTCTCGCAACGGTTACCGACGCTCCCTCTTCCTTTTGTCTTCTGCGTTTTTCCTGTGATGACACCGCCATTGTTACCGGTTTGGAGCTTCAGTGGGGTTGATCTTTATCATTTCAGAGTGAGTTTTGAGTGAGATTCGTGTTCCATTGCAGAAGACTGTCCAGATTGATTGGGTTTGGAGTGATTTGTGGTTATTGTTTGTCTGAAACTTTGAGGACCTTGGGAGAACTCGCTGAACGGAGAAGAGGAGCTCATCGCCGGAGAGTTACCGTCCAGTGATCTTGTTGCCGTCATTAGGAACCCACCGCCGTCGGAAAACGCACCCTCAGCCCCTGCCGCCGTCCGCTGCCCCCTCCCCATCTAGGTTTTTCAATTTCTTTAAAAAATTAAATTTTATATTTATTAATAATAGTAAAAGGTTGATTAAAATAGGTTATTATAGTAATATTAGATTAAAAATTAGAGTAATAGTAGATTAAAAATTTGTACATATATCAAAATAATCAGAAATTTTATTATTAAATTTTAATAGTAATTTTAAGAAAAAAATTAAAGTTTGCAATTAGAATAATTATAATTTGAAGTAAAAAATTAAAAAAATTGTAAAAAATAATTAAACATAATAATAAATATTAAAATAAAGTTAAAAATAGAAAAATATAAAATAGTTGTATGGTTGATTAATTATATAAGAAATGATAAATAGAAAAAAGTGTAAAAAAATTATAACATAACTTATGTTTTTTAGATTAAATAACATTTAAGAATATATACTTTAATAAAAGGATTGATTTATGATTAATGAACAAATAATTTAAAAAAAAAGGTAAAATTTGAGAGCATTAAAATTAAGCATATAATATTAAAATTATAGTAGCAAAAATTGGAGTTTATTAAATAATTAAAAGAAGAAAATAAATTTAATTATGGTTTATGGTTAAAAATATTGGAGTGATATATGATAATTTAAAATAAATAATTAGAATTGTATAAGTTTATTTATGATGAAATAATAAGTGTATATATTGAATTTAGATTTTTAAGATGAGATTAAGTTATTTTAATTAAATAATTTAATTTTGGTAGAAAAAAGAAATTTAGCTATGTAATTTAATTTATTGGAGTGATATTAAATAGTTTAGAATAAACAATTATATTATGTAATATTATTTATGATTATATTATAAAAATATTTATTGAATTGTTAATTTTGATTGATATTAAAAAGATGAGATTAAGTAATTTTAATTAAATTATTTAATCTTTAATGAAATAAGAACTTTAATTAGGTAATTTAAAATATTGGAGTCATATTATATAGTTTAAAATAAATAATTATAATTTATTTATGTAATATTATTTATGATGAAATTATAAATTTATTTATTAAAAATTTATTTTAGAGTGTTATTAAATATTGAATATTAAGTTATTTTAATTAAATTTTGTTAATGAAATAAGAATATTAGTTATGCAATATAAATTTTTGGAGTGATACAAATTAGTTAAAATCAATTATCCTATCATATAATTTATAATGATTGATAACTAATATAAAAATATATATATATATATATGACCATTTTTTTATTAGGATTTATGTTATGAATTAATAGAACATGTTATATTTGATAGAAACAATTAAACTAACACACATTTATATATAATATTTTTTAGATGGCTTCATCTTCTGGATAGAATAGAATTATTCATCCAGAATCAGATGATCTTTCATTATTGCGCTTACAGAAGATTCACGTGTCTGAACATATTTGGAATGGTCGGGAACAT